GGATGTCTTCCACAACACTGGCACCTTCTCCTGGGTCAAGCTAAGGTTGAAGAGGTGTTGCAGAATCCCACAGAGCTGGTCTGCACAGGCCAAATAAATAAACATTAGCTAGCTAGTTGCACTTTATTTTTTATCTAACTGCAATGTGTATTTTTAATAATATAGCTCATCTTGCTCATTTCTTTTAAAATTATTTATCYTGTTGCACCGTTTAATGATACGACTTTCTGGCCAGCTAACCAGGCCGCCGCAATAAACCAACATTAGCTAACTCATTTCTTGTATTTCACAGATGATTCAAACCGTTTCCTGCAGCTTCTGGTGCTTTTAGTTCCTGAAGCCTTTGTCCAAAGGTCCAGTGTTAAACTTGTTTGATGAAAAATAAAAAAGATGGACCGATTTCCTGTTTTTGGAGTTTAAAATGAAAATGTAATAACCATCTGGGGTTGTTTTTTCAGTATCTGTTTTTAAAATGAAAAACACACACGCTGAAACAGATTTTTGACTTTAGTGATTGAGTTCAAATGCGAGACCTCGTCCTCCTCTAGGCTGGAGAAGGCTCAGGAGGAGAACCGCACGGTGGCCGTGGAGAARGAGAACCTGGAGCAGAAGATGAGGGACGAGATCATCGACGCCAAAAAGGAGGCGTACCGGCTGCGAGAGCTGCGGGAGGGCGCCGAGTGCGAGCTCAGCCGACTCAAATACGCCGAGGAGGAGCTYGTCCAGGTAGACCGGCTCGATTCTCTGCCTGGACCAGGAGCGTGCAGTCCTGGTCCTGCAGGTTGTGGAGGTTTCTCTGCTCCAACACTGATTTCAATAAACAAGTGATTAATCGGCTTCTGCAGAACCTGAAGAGGTGATTTAACCACTGAATCAGGTGTTGGAGCAGAGAAATAAGTGAAACATGCAGGACAGTGGCCCTCCAGGACCAGGCGTGGACTTGTCCTCTGAATCTGTGGTGTCTCCCGCCCTCGCTGCTCTGCAGGTGAGGAAGGCTCTGAAGCGAGCGGAGAAGGAGATGCAGTCRGAGCGCTCGGTGCCCGAAGCTCTGCAGAAGTGGCTGCAGCTCACACACGAAGTGGAGGTTCAGTACTACAACATCAAGAAGCAGAGCGCCGAGTTCCAGCTCTGYGTCGCTAAAGACGAGGTGACTTCCTGTCTGGGGTCGGTGCACAAGCTGTGTCGAAGATAAACGTGAAGATTAATACTTTATCACTGCTTTCAAAACATGGTTACAGCAATGTAGCTGAAATGTCCAGTTTAGCTCAAGTAAAATTTTATCTCATTTATGCTTGTCTGTTAGTAAAATATCTCATCAACCACTGGATGGATCTTCTTTGTTATTTGCCTCTATTGGGAGAAATAGCTTGATTTAAAACTTCAGAATTTAATGAATTTAAAACTTTAATGATCCCCGGGGGAAAATTGCAATTATTACAGTTACAACCGTTCAAGTAAGCATGAGAGATAAAGTATAAAGGAAGAAGATTAGAAGGAAGAAATAAGTAAAAAAAACTCTGGAGAAACTAATGAACGCAAAGAACAATGAGCATTCTTTAGCGTCTATACACTGTAAGTAGAAATAAATAGAATCCCAGCTGAATTATAACAATAAAATCATAATAATAATAATTAAAACGCACAAATGAATTATAGATGCCGCTGTAATAAAACATAATGTGACCCATCACGTCAAACTGAGGTCAAATCTGATTAAAATGACCTCGGCAYATTTTCAGGTTCCTGCTTTTTAAGCTACATTTTGATTTGTCATCCTAATCAGGATAACTCAGTAATATTTGGTCTGAATCCCAGTTTTAGTTTATTCTAATAAGAAACTGTTGACATTATAAAGAGGAAACCTCAAACAAATGTTTGGATGTTGAGATTGCAGGGAAAATATCAAAAATGTAAAACTTTTCTGCTCAAAGTCATGTTTTTTGTTACTACAGCTCAAGAAATGAGCTTTAGGAAATTCTTTAATGGGATCCATGATTAGTTGTAACATTAGACTTWATTTGATAAACATATATTTTAACTGTAAAATAAAGACTGTAAAAATACTGTAGGCTGTTTAGTTTTGTAAATTTAAAAAAATATGTTTTAACATGGAAGGAGCCATTTTATTTACACACAAAGCATTCTGGGTAAATGATGACGTTAATAGGTCCTCGGTGCGAGGCTGCTAGCGAGCTATATCCACCCTGAAGGTTAATCTTGGACAATATCTGATGATCGACTCTTTTAAATGAAACCAGAGAGCGTTGACAGAGAGGAGAAGGTAGAAATGACTCAGCCTGTAACTGAAAATATGGATGGAGGACAACAGAGCTGCTTCATGGAAGAAGAACCTCAGCTTAGCCTGTTAGCCTTCGCGCTAGCGCCGACGCTATATTATATGTATTATATGTATTAGCTCGACGCTAGTGCAACAAACAAGCCAATCTGAGGTCCTCCATCCATATTTTCAGTTTCAGGCTTCAAACTAATGATGTAATTTACAACTTAAGTTTTTTTCCTCCATTTCAGGCAGAGAAAATMAAAAAGAAGCGCGGCTCGGTGTTTGGAACTCTTCACGTCGCCCACAGCTCTTCTCTGGACGAGGTGGACCATAAAATACTAGAAGCAAAGTAAGAAATGCTCACTTCCTCTGAAACATAACATGTCCCGAAGTATTTTTCTGAGTACAACAATGAGTATTTGAGGCTGGTACTGTGTCCGATACAATTCAAGATCTGTTACTGTTCTGAAGGGTTTTGTCATTTGAATCAAATAGACCAATAAAAAAAAACCTTCTTCTGTCCATGAAAGCCTGTATAGATCCTGAGTAATCAAACTCCTCCTCCKTCAGCTTGTTTTTGTTGGGATGTTTTGTAGGAAAGCTCTGTCGGAGGTCACGGCCTGCCTGAGGGAGCGGCTGCACCGCTGGCAGCAGATCGAGAAGCTCTGCGGTTTCCCCGTCGTCAACAACTCGGGCCTGCCCAGCCTGACGGCCAGCCTCTACTCCGACCACAGCTGGGTCGTCATGCCCCGGGTCTCCGTCCCCCCCTACCCCATCGCAGGCGGGGTGGACGACCTGGACGAGGACACGCCTCCCATCATTCCTCAGTTCACCTGTGAGCACAGCTTTTATTTATTTATTTTTATTTTACACCTTTTACGTTGTACACTGAAGGTAAGAGACTTTTTTTTCCCCTCCAAGCATCGACGATGATCCGGCCCCCGCTGACCCGCAACAGCAGCCTGTGTCGGTCCCGCCGGAGCCTGCTGAGCTCCCAGCAGTCCTCTCTGATGTCTCCAGACCCGGACCTGCTGTCCATGGCCGGCTCGTCCCTGTCCTATCGCTCCGAGGCAGACGAGGAACACGTGATGTTCAGCCTGGACAGGAGGGGGTACGTAACGGGTTCGGTTCTTTAAATCGCACCGTGTCCTCCAGACACCAACCTGTCTGAGTCTTAAATGATGCACAATCCACTTTTTAGCTCCTAAATRTAGTTTGTTTGGTAACTGGAGTCTCTAGGAGTTCAGAAAATTTGAAATTAGTTTCTCCTGATGCTGCTTAGATATCTACCTCGAACCAAACTAAGGATTATGGAAAATCAGCCCCTTCCCTAAAATAATAATAATAATAATAATAATGTTATTATTATTATTACTGGGAGTGTAATCTGGAGTGGGCGGCGTGTGAAGCGGCTCGTTTGCATTCTAAAGGGGCAGCATTAAAACGAGTTGATTCTGACACACACCTCAGAAAAGGAGGTGAAAGAGGGGCTTGTGGAGTTACAATAATTCAGACCAAAGCGTCCCAGTTCCACTTTATATAGAGCCCAACTGAAAGAGTTAAATGTATAAAAATAGGATTTAAAACCATGATGTGTCTCCTGTAMAGATCTGACAGGAAGGGTTGGATGTTGATWTTTTTCGRACACAAGATGAAGGTTTTCTGACCGGTTCTGTTTGATCTCCTCCTCCAGAGGATCGGCTCAGGATGGCGGCTCAGACTCYGACTCGCTCAACTCATCCTTAGGCCGCAAGCAGGTGGCGGGCMCCTGTGCGCCCGGCCCGGAGACCCCGTACCGCAGGATCTCCCGCGAGGAGCTGCTGCTGTTCGGCCAGACTCCAGAGCGCCCCGGGTCCACCCACACCACCAGCAGCAGCAGCAGCAGCAGCCTCAGGGACTCCACGCCGCCCCCCATGCCCCCCACGCCGGCCGCCACCCCCTCCGGACCCCCATCCACCTCGCCGTCCCCAGCCCTGGAGCACCGCCCGTTCGCGCAGGGCGGCTCGCCCGACCTCACCCGCGTCGCGCCCGACTCCCAGGGCGCGCCGCCCCCTCCGCCACCGCCGCCTCAGACAGGGAAGGGCGTGTACAACGGCGTCCTGGAGAAGTCCTACAGCTTCGACCAGCTGCCGGCGAGCATGCTGCCCGGCGTGGGGCGCCAGCCRTCCATCACCTCGCTGGACTCGGAGGGGCGGAGCCTGGGGCGGGATTACAAGCTGCAGAGCACCTCCTCCCAGGACTCCAGCGAGAACGGAGAGAGGCTGAAGCGCTCCTCTTCGAAAATCAAAAACTTATTCAAGAAGAAAAAATGAAACTTTCCGAGGAGCTGCTGCGTGTGTGTGTCTGTCTGTGTGTGTCTGCGTGTGTGTGTGTGTGTGTGTGACTGACAGGAAGAGAGAAAACTAAAATAATACGAGTTTTATCGCTGGTGTTTCACTGTAAGATAAAACATTTCATTTTCTCTCCTCTGTTTGTCGGCAGAGATGGAATGTAGCTCAGTCTGGGCGCTCCTCTGACTGGAAGCCTTATTTTTCAATAATCCTGTTTTTTTTTTTTTTAGCAGTCTCCCTCTCCCTCTGTTTGGTTTGACTTTAAACCAAAACAAAAAGACAACTAACCAGTGTAAAGGTGCAGTCTGTACATTTGAAGCTGACGCGCACCGCGGGGGCGACGCCTTTTTTTTTTTCTCGTGACTTCGCCTCACGAGTAACGCACAGCGAGGAGGCGAAACGAGTTTAACTCGTGTACTTGACTCATTTCCCTTTCAGAGCAAAGACAGAAAAAATTTGAAATCCTGCAAAAAAAAAGTTTGTTGCACTGCTGCTTTCTGGGTTTTATTTTATTTTTTATTTTTGGGGGGCTGCAGCTATAATACAGATGCAGAGATGAGAGGAATGCATGAGCAAAACTGTCTCAGTGCCACTCTATGGATGTCTCAATATATATATATATATATATATATATATATATAAACTGTTAACACGTTCTCATAGATTATTTTAATAATTTTTTTGTTTTAGTGTTTTAAAGTCTCTCTGCAGACTGAATCCACAACMGACACTTTATCTGTTCTTGTTGCTTTTTATTACTTGATTAACTGCATCCTGTAGCCATACGGTAACAAAACACCACGTCCATGTTGCACCGCGAGGATTCGGTCAGCGTGTCAATCAATAATCAGTCCAAGTCCTGAYGAAACGCGTTCGTTTTCGGACTCGCGCCCCATGCACCACCAGGCTTTCTAAAGATGAACACTACAAGATTTTTCCTCTCAAAAAGTGGAAATTTTATTTTCTGTTTTTTTTCCGGATCTGACCGATGCACCAAGACCCCCACCCCACATGCCCCACCCCCGAGCGCACTGATGTCAAAGAGCTTCACTGTGATTTCTGGCTGTTTCCTCTCATCCCGGACCCAACAGTCACCACCGTTGCTGTTCCAACAACGACCCGTGGCGCTCCACGCCACCACTGACACGACAAGCCGAGGATCCAGCGGCCCGTTTTTTTTTTAGATAAAAAAACAAATAAATAAATAAGATAATAAATTATGCCTACATGCCGAAGGTTGCTGATATCGCAGCGCTCCATGAAGGAAACGCAAGGCGGCGCTGCGAGGTGGAGGAGGAAGTGAATGTTTACGTAAAAAAAAAAAAAGTAGGGGTGTTTTTCTGAGAACATTTTGTGTGTGAATATTTGTATACTGTAGAATAATTAATAAAAAAATAAACTGAAGCGTCGAAGAGGTTTCAGAGTCGTGTTTGACGCAGTTTCTGAATCACTGAAACAGTACAAATAAAATTTGTGTTGACGTTTAAAACAAGTTGAAAACTAAAGCTCCGCCTACATTGAATATATATTATTTAAACTGACGTATTTTTTTTCATTTTTTACCAAAAACAAAGCTTCATCCTAATCATAAACGGGGATTTAAACACATTTGTTCCACTAGTGCAGGGGTGTCAAACTCATTTTCACCGAGGGCCACATGAGTGTTATGGTGGCCCTCGAAGGGCCAGTTATAATAAACTTTGATGTTTCATGTTTAACTTTGACTAAACAGAGTTTTAACATGTCCTCTTTTAAACACTGATAAGAACTAAGTGTACAACTGACTAAATCTGTAATAAATACAGAAATATTATTAAAAGTAAAACAAAAATAGGTTTTACTCACTGATGAGTTTCCAGTGAGTAGCTGCATTATGGCAGATTAATTTATGTTTGATGGTGACTTTAAAGCAGCTTATTTTCAGACATTAGTACTGTGCTATCAACTAAATGGCTCAGTTACTTCAAACCAACAGCTCAGGGACAGGAATTTATTAAATTTTATTTTTATTTAATTTATTTTTATCAAATTTATTTTGTTGCATTTAACCATAAATTTAAAG